GAACTTCCTAGTTAAGTATTTCTAGTTGCTAAAGAAATCCTGGGTTTAAAATTTAGTCTTCCAATGTGGGACAGAGGTTGAGATTATTCTTGTAGAGTCTGAATTCTTGAACCTTCCTGTGTAGAATAAATTCCATTTCTGTATAATTTATTAACATGGGATTTTCAAATCTTGGCTTCTACAAACAGATGAATAGACTTCTCTATCAGGCTACTACTTTTAAAAGGTTCATTGAGAACTAAGAAAGGTAGAATTTGGATTACAGCTGCTTCCTCACTTAATCCCTATTTGATTTTGTGATGAAGCACATTTTCTTCAAATTGGATTCCAGGTACAGGCCTTTAGGATGGTCCCAATTTCTAGGAAATCTGAGACAAATGCTCTCTCTGATCCTCCTCTGTTCAACAACAAATATCAATCTGCCTAGCCAAGATAAAGCTATAGCCTTCCATCCTGGAGTAAAAGTTCACCATGAGCCTTTCAAAGCTGTGTTAGCTGCATGCCTCCCTCTGCTTGGACAGCATTTTATTTATTTATTTTTAAGATTTTTATTTATCTATTTGACAGAGAGAACACAGGCAGGGGGAGGGGCAGAGGGAGAAGCAGGTTCCCCACTGAACAGGGAGCCCGATGCGGGGCTCGATCCCAGGACCCTGAGATCATGACACAAGCCGAAGGCAGACCCTTAACCGACTGAGCCACCCAGGTGCCCCTGGACAGCATTTTAAAACGCTAGTATTCTCCTCTGTGTTGTGTGAGTTTAGTCACTTTCTCATTGAACTGAATACACATCAATGAGTAGTTACTTACTGGATTTCTTGTATCTCTTGTCCCTTATTACAATGTAATTGTGGTTACTGTTTCTAATGCCTCTCTCCTATTTACTAGGTTTGAACTAGCTCCTGATGGTTATTCAGGACTAAATTCAGCTCCCTCCTGATAGACTCCTGATTTACCTTTGTAGATTTTAAATAAAAACCTCCCCTTTATCAAACCCTCAAGAAACATTCCCTGACCATCTCTGAATAATTAGAGTTCCCTGCTGTTCTTTCCCCCAGTCTAGTTTGTGGCTTTCTTGATAAATTAAAATCTCTATTATGATTTTATCCTATTGATGAGGTGTTCTGTAATATATATAGTTAAAAAAAAATAGGGAAATGTGGAATTCCTATGTGTTTTGTTTTAATTGGACTTCGGGCCACAGAATGGGATAAATCATGATCCTGGTTCAAGGTACACTATTATCATTGGTCTCTGTGTGGCTGCCTTTGTATTTGTTTACAATATAATGGTTACCTGTAGGCCCAAAAAACCCGATAGCTTAAGCCTAATTATGTGAATCTCTCCTAGTTCACTTCCTGGCTATTCTCTTACCATTATACTGATTTTTATGTTAATTATTTTCTTTAAAAAATGTTTTCATATGTTTGAATAGTAAGTTTTTCTTGTCTTTGAATTTTCTTTAAAAATGTATCATACTGTATGTTGTCCTCTGGGACTTACTTTTTCACTCAACATTATGTTGCTAGGATTAATCCATGAAGTGTGTAGCTATACATAATAATTTTCTTAGGCGTATAATTGCTAGTGTAGTGGAGCTCCACCCTCTTAAGTTCATTCCTGGAGCCCTACAAATTAAATTGAGAAACATCACATTTACAGGAGAAAAGGTTTATTACATACGCATATGGAGGTCTTCATGGAAAAGAAGTTGAAGACAAAGAATGGTTAGGCCCTAAAATTTAATAAAGAGCAGTACATTGTGAAGTGACAAGACAAAGGAAAAGTGTCTGGGCTTCTAGGGGTGGTAAATTGGGGGAAGGAAAATCTATGGGGGAAACTAATGGAAGATAAGGGCTGTTTAGTAAGCTTTGTGCAGACCTATCTCATTGTCAGCTTTCTGGTTCTGATGATAACAGTTGTTGTTTTTTTGGTGTGGGAAAGAGAGGGGAAACTGCTTTTAGGCAGAAAAAGAAAAGCTGGAGAGCTTTTCTTGCACCTGCTCTTTGTCAGTTGCCTTCAGCTCAAAATAATTCTCATGCCAAAGTGACATATTTGAGGTGGCATATTTGATCTGCTTCACTTGATTGTTAGCTATATAAAAAATTGATTTAAACTTAACACCAGCAATGTCTATAAACCTCATTCATTTACGTTATCTCTACTATTTGGTATTGTCAGACTTTTCCCCATTGAGTAGGTGTAAAATGATACCTTGTGTATTTTCATTCTCCTTATTACTAATTAAATCAAGCTTCTCTTCATATTTATTAGAAATAAGCCCATCAAAGGACAAAAACAGAAAATTATAAAGCCTTGCCAAAAGCCTTTAAAGAAGTGAAAAGATATTCCATGTGAATGTAGAAGAATACAGTTAGCCCCAAATTGATGTATAGATTGATTGCAACTCCAATGAAAATCCTGACATTTTTTGTGTACCTTCGAAGGGTGACTCTAAGTTGAATATGGAGGAACAGTGGGCCAAAAATGGCTAAGCTCTCTCTGAAGAAAAATAAGGGGGATTTTCAGTACCAGACATCAGAACTTATTCATAAAGTCTAATAATGAAGACTCTATGATTTTAGTACCAACATATAAAAATTGATAGAATAGTGAGCTTTTTCAAAAACAGACCCACACATATATAGACCTTGAATATATATCAGTGGTAACTTTTATAATCTTTGATCCATCAGTTCCTTCTTTTGGACTCTCTCCCATGGAACTATACAAGTATATAACATTAAATGTACAAGATGTTTATTGTATAGCATTATATTGATTATTGAAAATCTGGAATGAAATGTTCAGCAATAGGAAGCTCATTGAATAAATTATAATATGCTGAGTAGTATATGGCCATTGAAAAGAAAGGAGGAGCTTGAAGTACTGACATGGAAAGATGCATCATTTTAAGAAAACTAAGGTGTGTAAAAAAAGACATATAGACCAGTGGAACAGAATAGAGAGCCCAGATATGGACCCTCAACTCTATGGTGAAATAATCTTCGACAAAGCAGGAAAAAATATGCAATGGAAAAAAGACAGTCTCTTCAATAAATGGTGGTGGGAAAATTGGACAGCTGTATACAGAAGAATGAAACTCGACCATTCTCTTACACCATACACACGATAAACTCAAAATGGATGAAAGACCTCAGTGTGAGACAGGAATCCATCAGAACATAGGCAGTAACCTCTTCTACATCAGCCACAGCAATTTCTTTCAAGACACGTCTCCAAAGGAAGAGAAACAAAAGTGAAAATGAACTTTTGGGACTTCATCAAGATAAAAAGCTTCTGTACAGCAAAGGAAACAGTCAACAAAACAAAGAAGCAACCCATGGAATGGGAGAAGATTTTTGCAACTGGCACCACAGGCAAAGGGCTGATATCCAAGATCTATAAAGAACTTCTCAAACTCAACACCCAAAAAAACAAGTCAAAAAATGGACAGAAGACATGAACAGACATTTCTCAAAAGAAGATGTACAAAAGGCTAAGAGACACATGAAAAAATGTTCATCATCATTAGCCATCAGGGAAATTCAAATCAAAACCACACTGAGATACCACCTTACACCAGTTAGAATGGCAAAAATTGACAAGACAAGAAACAAATGTTGGAGAGGTTGTGGAGAAAGGGGAACCCTCTTACACTGTTGGTGGGAATCTAAGTTGGTACAGCCACTTTGGAAAACATTGTGGAGGTTCCTCAAAAAATTAAAAATAGAGCTACCCTATGACCCAGCAATTGCACTACTGGGTATTTACCCCAAAGACACAGATGTAGTGAAATGAAGGGCCATATGCACCCCAGTGTTCATAGCAGCAATGTCCACAATAGCCAAACTGTGGAAAGAACCAAGATGCCCTTCAACAGAAGAATGGATAAAGATGTCCATATATACAGTGGAATATTACTCATCCATCAGAAAGGATGAATACCCAACTTTTACATCAACATGGATGGGACTGGAGGAGATTATGCTAAGTGAAATAAGTCAAGCAGAGAAAGTCAATTATAATATGGTTTCACTTACTTGTAGAACATAAGGAATAGCATGGAAGATATTAGGAGAAGGAAGGGAAAAATGAAGGGGGGCAAACTGGAGGGGGAGATGAACCATGAGAGACTCTGAACTCCTAGAAACAAACTGAGGGTTTTAGAGGGGAGTGGGTGGGGAGATAGGTTAGCCCGGTGATGGGTATTAAGGAGGGCATGTATTGCATGGAGTACTGGGTGTTATACACAAACAATGAGTCATGGAACACTACATCAAAAACTAATGATGCACTGTATGGTGACTAACATAACATAATAAAAATAAATAAGAAAACTAAGGTGTGTATGTGTGGGTGTGTGTAGGAAAAAATCTGGAAGGATATATACTAAGCTATTAATAGTGATTATAAAAGGGGGATGGGGCAGGGATTTTACTTTCTGGTTTAAACATTTTGATTTGTTTTATGGCTTAGGAAGGAGCATTTAAAGAATTAAAGGTATTTAAATGACAGATTTCTAATAGGAACAAGGCCACAAATAGTTTTAAATTGGAAAAGTTGGTGTCGTTTTGGCTACTGTTTATGATAGAAAATCAAGACAAATGGAATGTGTGGCTGGCTCAGCCAGAGGTTGCTTTCCTATTGGTGTCGCAGAGAGGTACATGTGGGTGTCTTTGTAATTTCCGGGCAGTAATAATTACAGTCACATCAGCGATCACAACTGCTTTTTCCGCTTTATGGGCCAGAGTTCAAGGATTTGTGATTATGAAGCTAACGTTCTTAAATTTAGAGCCTATTAAATTAGATGGGTAACTGAATTCTCAGAGAAAGTAACATCCTTAGAAAAAGGGAAGATTGACTAAGTAGTAGTAGATCATATCATGGAAATGGAAACCTGGTTATTTATTGATTTAATGAGTTGAAATGTGGAGAACACTCAGAAAAGACTTGTAACCTACTTAGCTCTTGCTGACTTGATAATTTTTTTGTTCTAGATTCCTGTTCATCCTGTGCCCGATCCCTTAGTTCATGAAGTTCTAAACTTAGCTTTTAAGCACTTTAAACATAAGGAAGGGTAAGTAAAATGCTAGCTTGGGGTCATTGTTTTCTCTGCTGGCCAGGTTTAGACCATTTAAGTATAATTCAAACTCTCATTGATTATTTGTTTTTAGAGTTCAAAGCAATTTTTTTTTCTTTCTTTCTTCCTTTCTTCCTTTCTTTCCTTTCTTTCTTTCTTTCTTTTTCTTTCTTTCTTTTCTTTCTTTCAGAATCCACACCAAATGCTTATAGAAAAGGTGTTTTCTGTTGTTGGTTTTTGGTTTTTTGGTTTTAAGGCTCCATGCCCAGTGTGGGGCTTATACTCAAGACCCTCAGGTAAAGAGTCACATGCTGTACTAACTGAGGCAGCCAGGCAGGCGCCTCCATAGGAAAGATTTTATTAAAATAATTCTTAAAACTATTGATTGGATTTACATAAGAATTAGAAGATTAGATTTCATGACAGTAAAATCCAGATAGAAGAAAATTCATGTGGTTTTTATTATCCTATAGATGAATCTTCAGAGAAAAAAAACTGTATAACACCCTGATAAGAAATTTTCAGATTTATTAGGGAGAGTTTGTAGAAAAATTTGATAATGCATTTGTTCTCTTGTTGTTTTAGATATTCAGGAACCAACACTGGGAATGTGCATATTATTGCAGATTTATATGCAGAGGTGATAGGGGTTCTTGCCCAATCAAAGTAAGTGTTATAAATCCTGATTTCAATTTGTGTTTTAGAATGCTTCATTACTAATGTAATAGTTTTAGATCTATTTTTTTTCATATTTATTTTGAACTCCCCCTTTTATTACTTAACTGCTCTATTCCTTAGAGGATTTAAAAGTTAAATCCATACATTAATTTCACAACTTGTTTTCATTTATTTGGGGTTTTCCGTAAATGTCTGAATTGAGGAAGTCGGAAATTACCAGGAATAGTCAGGACATTACCTTATTGCCTATTTTTAACTATTCTATGAGAAGTGTTTTTTTAAGTCTTTTTTATTTTTTTAGAACTCTACAGAGCTAATAATGACTTTTAATACTTTCTAGTTGAGTACTTTCATTTCTGAGTGCAGTGTCTTCCTCCTAATTACCTTATTTGTTTTAAAACGCACCAAACAGAGTTTTGGATAGGTAGAAGAGATACCAAAAAAGAAAAAGGAGGTAATAGATTACTCCATAAAGGTGTTGTTCATTAGGAGTTACACTTATTGAATTGCCTTGAACCATCATTATAGTAAATAGTAAAAAAGTTTGCCTTTAGTATCTTGTGGTTGCTCTGAAGACTATGGAAGATTTTGAATTTCCTTTGTTGCTACTGGGAAATTTGTGAGGTAAAAAGTTATCAATGAAGATTTTCTTGATGTCATTTAAAGAGTCTTTGGTCCTGAAATCATCAGATAAAAACCTTTCCAAATTCTAAGAAGCCAAGTACAATTCTTGTTAATGTTTAGTTCCTGTGATTTTAGTGACTAATAATTATTATGAGAAATTTAATAAAAGAGAAAACCCTTGGATTCTAGTGTTATTGCAATGGGAGGGTTTTTATCCACTTTATATTTTCTTTATAAAATGCAAAAGAATACATTCATGGAAAATGGTATTGTATTCCCCAAGACTCAAATGGAAGTGGATAAGTAGTATTTTCTATCATGTATCCATATTTCATTAGTATGCACTATTTTTTTTCCCCCTCTGTAGTCACTGACAATTGGAAAATATGCTTCATTTGTCATTTTTATTTTCAGGAACTGGTTTCCCCAAGTAACATTAATAGTAAAATCTTGAGCTGTTTGTTATTTTGTAGAGGGGGGAGATTAAGTATTATTGGTTATTAAATTGTTAGGTATCTTTTTGTAGTGTAAACAGAAAAAAACCCCTTATCAGTTGTGGTCATTTGAATCCAGGATGGTGCTTATATTTGAAAGCATTTCGGGTTCTTTCGCTTATTCCCATTGTGCGAGAGACCATGTTCTCCCATTCCTCTCCTTCAGTTTTTCTCCAGTGTAAGGAGAAATTAATTTTAAGTGATAGTGGTCTAAAACTGATTGGTTCATGTCTTTGAACAAATTTGTAGTCCCTAATTTGTTCTCCGTATAACTCAAATTACAGACTTTATAAAAAGGAGCCTTAAAAATTAGACACTATCCGATTTACAGGGGGACGTTTTATGGGTGGATTATTTGATTTTGTTTTTATTATGATTATTAAATGGTAATGGAGCTGTACTGATGCTATGATAGGAATAAAGAAATCATATTTTATCTCCTTATAGAACTTGTAATTTTAAAATAAATGAACAGCGGATTCGGAATGACAAATAACTTTGTTTTTCTCTATGCTTTTCTGGTAATTTTGAGGAGGGCCAAGAAAAGAGATGATGTTTAGGTACAATATCTAAAGATTTCCATGTTGAATATCATGTGGGAAGTTAGTGTTTTAAATTCATATCATATTATATATTCGTGTATATTAAAGGTTTCAGGCTGTGAGGAAGAAGTTTGTGACAGAATTGAAAGAACTACGGCAAAAGGAACAGAGCCCACATGTGGTACAAAGCATCATCAGCTTAATAATGGGAATGAAATTTTTTCGAGTGAAAATGTATCCTGTAGAAGATTTTGAAGCATCATTTCAGTTCATGCAGGTGATATACTTTCTCCATTGCAGGGATTAGAATTAGCCTCACAGTGGTTATTCTTGCTCTTCATGACTTTTTAAAAGAAACAAAATGTATATAAATTAATGACATCATTATTAATTCCTTACTCCAACTGTTAAATTTGTCACAAGTGTGAATTAACTTTCTTTTTTAATTTGAGCATGTTTTGACCTTAGCTTTTTGGTAAAATGACAGTATTTACAAAATTATCATGATATAAAAATTCTTAAATCTTCCTCTTTTGTGAACTTAATATTATACCTCTTTCCCCCTCAAGGAATGTGCTCAGTATTTCTTAGAAGTAAAAGATAAAGATATAAAACATGCACTTGCTGGTTTATTTGTGGAGATTCTTATCCCTGTAGCTGCTGTAAGTATATTTTTATTTTTATATTGTATGTGAAAGGTACCTTTTTGCGGAAGAAGTTGCCACATGAAATAGTCTTACTTTCTGGTAATTTCATAGACTAATAAGTGGAAACTTGGAATATAATGTGGATATGGGGAAAATGGTTATTAGCCAAATGCTAGTAGAGCATCGATTAGTCTTTTAATTAAAAGAATGGGCCCAGGTCCTTAAGATTCAGAGACTGTTAAGAGGGCGGAGTATTTGCAACCTAGCTTCTAGGTTATGCCTCTAGGTAACGGCCGCCTGAAATAGCTCAGTGCGACATACTGCATTTACTCATGGCTTTTCCTTCCTACGGTGTGGTGGCCATTTTAGTAGCCTCTGAAGAAATTAAAAGTACTGTAACATGTACCTTGGCATTTACAGGACTGTCTCGATTTTAAATGTTCTGTAGTTGCTGCTGACATGCATCATACTTGTCAAACTATATATTCTAAATTATTTAGAAAATAGGATTATTATAAGTATGATTGCACTAACATCTAGGGAAGCAGATTTATAAAAGCCTTCCTTGGTATAAAAGCAGAGTGTCATTTGAAAATAATTTTTGCAGTTACTAGTAACAGCATGCTATAAATAGGATTAAGGGATTTTACAATACTTAGATGCCAGGTTTTTTATTTCCCACGGGTTTTTTTTTCCCTAACCCAACTCAGTTCTGTGTATGTGATATGCTACTCACTTTCAGTATACTACACACTGCTGTGTAAATATTCTTTTCATATATATCATTTCATTTTTAAACTTGAGGTAAAATTGACATATAATAACTATGCATACTTAGAGTATACAGTTTGACCTTTGTATGTACCAGTGAAACCATCACCACAATCAAGATAATGTACATATCTGGAGATCCTGGGTGGCTCAGTTGGTAAAGCATCTGACTCTTGATTTCGACTCAGGTCACAACCTTGGGGTTGTGAGATCGAGGCGCGCATCGGGCTCTGCACTGGGCATGGAGCCTGCCTAAGTTTCTCTCCCTCTGCGCTCCCCCCCAAAAGATAATGTACATATCTATCACACCCTGAAAGTCTCCTTATTTTTTTTTTTAATTCCTGCTTCCACTCACCCCACCTTTGGGCAGCGCAACTATCGATTGTCTATCACTCCACGTTAGTTTTGGTTTTCCTAGAATTTCATATCAATGGAACTTTACAGTACAAAGCCATTTTTTGGCTTCTTTTTATTCTGCATTATTGTTTTGAGTTCCAACTATGTTGTGGTATATATCAGTGGGTTTTTCCTCTTTTGAGTAGTATTTCATTTACATAGATATACCATGGTTTGGTTATGTGTTCACCTGTTTTTGAATATTGGGTTGTTTCCAGTGTTTGGCTGTTACAAATGAAGCTCCTGTGAACATTTATGCACAACTCTGTGTATGGGACATATGCTTTTATTTCCTTTGGGGGAATGTCTAGGAGTGAGATTGGTGGACCAAATGGAAGGTATATGTTTGATTATTAAAGAAATTGTCAAACCATGTTCCAAAATTGTCCCACATTTTGCTTTCCAAGGGGCTGTGTGTGAGAGTTCTAGTTCTTCCACATCCTCACCAACTCTTGCTTTAGCCAATTGTTCTAGTTTTAGCCTTTGTACTGATGCATGAGCAGAGCCCAAATCGGGGCTGGATCCTATGATTAATGAGATCACGACCTGACCCGAAACCAAGAGTCGGAGGCTTAACCAACTGTGCCACCCAGGCACCGTAATATATTTTAAAAATATGTTTTAGATGCAGATATTTTATCAGATATATGCTCCATTCTCTTAACCGTCTTTGGAAGAGAAGTTTTGATGAAGTCTGATTTATCATTTTGTTCTTTCAGCAGTTGTGCTTTTTGTATCATATCTAAGAAGTCTTTGCCTAACCCAAGGTCTCAAAGGTTTTGTCCTATATTTTAGTTTTAGGATTTAATTTTAGGTTAGTGGTCCATTTTGAGTTATTTTGTGTATGGTTGAGGTATGAACTGATTTTAAGTTTTTGTTTTGTTTTTACATATGATATCCAGTTGTTCCAGTACCATCTGACCATTTGTTGACAAGACAGTTCTTTCTAAGTAGCTTAGTTTTTTGTTTAAAAAATCAATTGGCTGGGGGGCTCCTGGGTGGCTCAGTCAGTTAAGCATCTGCCTTCGGCTCAGGTCATGATCTCAGGGTCCTGGGATCAAGTCCTGCCTTGGGCTCCCTGGAGTCTGCTTCTTTCTCTCTCTCTCTCCTTCTGCCCCTCCCCACCTCTCATTTCTCTCTCTCTCACAAATAAATAAAATCTTAAAAAAAAAATCAATTGGCTCTATATGTGTGGGTCTATATATCTGATTCTCTTACATTCCATTATGGTTTTATAAATGATAGGTTTATTTTATCAAAAAGAAAACAGACTATTCACATGGCTAAAAACTGGAGTGGGAGGCTATTTGACTCAAACTACCTGCAAAGCTATAATTCATGACTTTTGTTCATACCCATTAAAAAAAAATCTGTAAGTAAATATTCAAGACAGGTATAGAAAAAAATCATGCCAGTCACTGTCATTAATATTTGAAATTCTTCACTTTCCTTACAATTCCCTATCCACCTTTTCTAAACATGCCCTAGACAGGACCTGAATACCACAAATCAATTCATATGAATATATAGATCACAAGCCATTTAATTCAATATTATGAAATATAAGTCTAAACTACAGTTTGATTTGCAACATGAAAATAAATTTCTCCACATTTAAAATTTTCAACTAAAATAAAACCTGAATACATGGAGAGTTACTAACTTCCGCTTCTAGCCAAGATGGTATAATTTATAAAATCATTTATAAAACCATCAGTTTTGGTCTATTATCATTAGTACATGTACTTCAATTTCTTTTTCTAGAAGTGGTTTGAATTACTGCTTATCCAATCCCAGGTTGTCATTGTGCTTCCCCCTTATGTGAAAATCTGGTTTTGCCGGGTACCTAACTGGGATTAGGTTGTATTTTTAAGGTAATTAAAAGGAGCAGGTTGTAGGAAGAAAGACCCTTGACTGTGGTCCATTAATACTGTGTTGCCTGATTCTTCTTTTTTGCCATGTTTGCTTTGTTTGCTAAGGCAGCCCTAACAAAGTACCCCAAACTGGATGGCTTAAACAACAATTACTGACTCACAGTTTCGGTGGCTGGGTGTCCAAGACCAAGGTGTTGTCAGGTTGATTCCTCCTGAGGGCCGTGAGGGGGAATCTGTTCCGTGCCTCTCACCTAGGTTTCTGATGTCTTTGACATTCCCTGGCTTAGAGAACCATCACCTGAACTCTGCCTTCATTTTTACATGGTGTTCTGCTTGTGTGCGTCTTTGTCCAAATTCTTTTTTTTTTTTTTTCCCAAGGACACCTGTCATGTTGGATTAGGGTCCCCGTACCCCAATAGGACTTCATCCTAACTTAACTAATTACATCTGCAGTGACCAAATTACATCTGCAATTTCCAAATAAGGTCACACATTATTTGGTACAGGTACGCAGAGTTAGGATTCCAGTATGAATTTGGGTTGCGGGAGAGGTGACAGTTCAACCCATAGCATCCACTCTGCACATAGAGCTCCTTCTGTCTGGAACATTCTTGCCTCTTTAATAACCTCCTCCCCCCCCCTTTGCCTGGTTGGACTCTACTTACTCATTCATTACATGTATGGAATGCTTTCTTTGTATCAGAGCCTCTTCTATGCAAAGGGAATGCAGGAATGATCAAGGTAGGAAAGACTCCCTGCTCTTCGAGAGCTACTTTTAGTGCAGACAACAGATAGTCATCTAGTATATAAAATACATAGTATGTAGATGGTGATAAGTACTATGGAGAAATGTAAAGTCAGGTGGGGGAGAAGAATTGCTGAAGGAGTAAGGAAGTTGAAATTTTAGATAAAGTGATTAGGTGAGACCTCCACCTCGAAAGAGGTAGAAACAACTGAGCAAAAACTAAAGGAACGAGGGAGTAAGGTGTGCTGTATCTGGGAGAAGAGCTTTTTGGGCAGAAGAAACCAGTGCAGATGCCCTGAAGTAAGACCACGCATGATATGTTCTAGGAACTGCAAAAGCTAGCTGATGCAGCTGGATCCCAGTGCGGGAGGACAGAATAGTGGAGGGCAAGGCCAGAGGTTACCTGGGGAGCTATTACCCTATTTCAGGGAAGAGGAGGTGGATTCAGCAAGGTGTTACCTCCTTGTGGAGGTTTTCTCCAGGGGCCCCTTCTGCGTTCCTGGAGCACCAAGAATTTCCTCTTGCAGCATCTGTTTGTTGTAGCACATACTCATTGCCTGTTCCCTTACTTGCGTTCTCAGGGCAGGGGCCAACTTCCTCTTATTTACTGAACAAGTTGGTCATTTGGCAGTTTGCAGGACTTTGCTGAGATAGTCGTGAATTATTAACCGATTTCAAACCTTACAGAAATTTCTTGTACTTCTTGTATAGTTTTATCTAATGTTTGTAACCATTTTCTTTCTTTCTTTTATCTTTCTAGGCTGTTAAAAATGAAGTGAATGTTCCCTGTTTGAAAAATTTTGTGGAGATGCTTTATCAGACTACTTTTGAACTGAGCTCCAGAAAGAAGCATTCATTGGTATTGAAAAACATTCAAACCTTTCAGTATTTCATTAGGAGTTAGAATAATTGATTTATGAATTCAGGAGAGATTTCAAAGTATTATAAAATATCCAAAATGCAACATAAGAGCAAGTTTTATATATTTTTCCTGCTCTTTTTAAGACTTTCTATTCCTAATTGGACTAGCTCTACAGTTGATAGGTTATTCAGACTTCATTCTAGGTATTTACCTGTCTTGACAGGTGCTTTAAATTATGTATTATACTATTTGGGAAGTTGACTATATGCCTATTAAACCATAAATTCCTTTATTTTACATTATAATTAATTGCACTCAGAAATATTAGATTATTTAGGAACCATTGCCTGTCTAATTGCATCATTTCTATTCAGAGATTTAAGGCTCCCCCCTCCCCCCACTTAACCACCCACTTCATATAATGTTAAAGGAGTTTCTGTAAATTTTTATGCAGCTTGGAGAAAGTGTGGAGAATTAGACAAATACTTGACCACTTAAGATAGAAATCTAATAATGAATAAACAGTGATTGTGCCAGGCATTGAACAAAGTGCTTTGCATTCTTTGTGTTACTTTAAGCCTCCCAAACCTGTAGGAGATACATAATTATTATTCAGCACTCCACATGTTAGGAAAGCGAGCCTTGGATCACTTAATGTATCCACCCTGAAGTCATGCACCTGGCAAATAGAAAGCTGAAATTTTAATGCCAGTTTGTCCTTGATCCCAGGGCCTGGGTTCCTAACCACTGTATTGGTTGAAGGAGCGATGCATCTACGGAAAAATAAAAGCATGAGATGAGATAGATTAAGGAGTTGTTCTTATAGAAAATTTGCCCGTTATCATTTTTTTGTTAGATTACTCTATGAGATCGTACTTCTTATGACAAATGGGAACACTGCCTAAAAACATCTACTTCTCTTTGTTGATGAGAATAAATATAATTTACAGATCCAGTGCTTTTTCATGAAAAATGTTAATCCCCTTTTCCCTGTCTCCTACAGGCTCTATATCCACTAATTACCTGCCTTTTGTGTGTCAGTCAGAAACAGTTTTTTTTAAATAACTGGCATATTTTCCTACAGAACTGTTTGTCACATTTAAAGGTAAGATGTAATCACATTCTGACCTGTAAATATTCTGACTGTAGTATATTCACTTATGCATATATATTGAACAGTATGTAATAAAACTTTCATTATTATTGGTACATTTGAATGGTAATACTTTACCATATTGCTTTTCTTATACATCTTTCTTTCTGTGGAGAATCATGTATTGACATGAATAAACTTTTGACTGAAAATTTAGTTTGTCTTAATGAATGCAAAATTGTACATTTTTAACTGTTGTTTATATTATCTTAGACCTAGCAATATTTGTTAATAAATAAATTCCTTTAGAATTGGCAGAGTATTAATCTTACAGAACCCTCCAGTTACTTATTTTGTGTTTCATTTTGAGAAAATTAAGTAATGTCCCAAGTCTGAAAATGAAACAAGCCTTGATAATAAAATGTCACTAAAAGCACATTTAATGTAAGCATGCCTAGCCAAATCTAAAAGCCTCGTGTTGGTTCCACATGGATACAAAACTCCTGAAATGATTCTGCCTTGATTCAAGAGATAGTTGTTACTAACACTATTTGGCACATCCATGTCCGATCTCTCTTAGTGTTGTCAACAAAAGTGTGTGATAGTAGGATCTTTATCTTCCCAAGATATTGTGCTAGCAGGATCTAATAGGATCTTCTTCTGTGGATAGGAGCTCAGCTAATGTCTGACATGGAACATGGCACTGCTCCTTACCTGCATGTCATGTAAATGCTTGATTTGAACACGATTTTGATGCATAGATGGATATGTTTGAATATTTGCTTACAAGTTATAGAAACATGACAGACATGACATTTCATTTCCTGTTATTCCTCTGAGTTAGGGATAACATTGAAAACCTTTATACTTTGAAGACAATGAAAGCAAGCACAGCTAGATTAAATGACTATTCTCTGACCCTATAGGTCATTGGGGTATTTGAGAAATAGGACTGGCTCTTCTTTCCCACTTTGATAATGGTCCACTGAACAACATTATCCTATATATATATTTTCCATGACTTAATATATCATTTTCAAAAGTGCCTTGATTACTTAAAGAGGTATACAGAAAATATAAGTCTTTGAAAAACATTTTTGGTTATGTTTCTCCTAGATACACATCAATATTATTCATACTCTCTTTGCTTTCTTTATGAAAATTCTCAGGACCAAATAGAGCTTATTAAACTTTTTATGTCATGCAACCAGAAAATAGGTTTTATTTAAATAATTGCATTAAACTGTTTTCTGTCCTCATTTTGAAAAATTCATACAGATACAGGGACTGAAAGGGAATTGATCATTTTCTGGGTGGTATGATTTTCCATAATTTTAATAAAAAATTTGTAGACCTGCATTAAGTGTTTCCTGAAAGGTTGCTTTGTTTCATGACAATTCATACTTTTCTGTTGCTTGTTGGAGTTTTTATATATATACGTTTTCACCTAACATATTTGCAGTTCTTTCGCAGTACCTTAACTTTTATTTTTTGTCTTAAGGCTTTCATTTAAAATGCTGTTTTCTTTGAACCTTTACCTCCTGTTAAATATTTCTGGCATATTGTTCATTTTCATTAATGGCAATGTCAATCTGCCAGGCTAAAGGAGATAAGAGCCACCTTAGCATGAATATTTGGAATATAGTTGTGTTGGCCATTAACCCTTAACTTACATTAAGGCTCTATTCAGCAGAAATTTTATGAATTGACTCCTATTTATTAAGTTTTAGATACTGTGGCTACACTACAGTTGAGGTAAGGCATTAAGTATGCAGGAAAAAAACCTACACTAGTTATCTGTTGTAACATATAATTTATTTGTTTTATATATAGGAAAAACTGGTTCAAGATAAAGGCCTAAAGTGATTTTTTTTTTTTTAAGATTTTATTTATTTGCGAGAGAGAGAATGAGAGACAGAGAGCGTGAGAGGGAGGAGGGTCAGAGGGAGAAGCAGACTCCCTGCTGAGCAGGGAGCCCGATGTGGGACTCGATCCCGGGACTCCAGGATCATGACCTGAGCCGAAGGCAGTCGCTTAACCAACTGAGCCACCCAGGCGCCCTAAAGTGATTTTGTTTTGAGATTCAAGTAACCTCTTGATTTCAAAAAGAACTATAACAGTTTTTCATTTGTTAGACTTATGACTTCTTAAAGGTGGTTTTTATTAATATTTACCATATGCTAGATGCTCTAAATATAGTATCTCTTAATTCTTATTGTAAAAGAGGCTGAAAGAAGATAAGTAACCCGTGTTCAGGGAGCCAAAAAGTGATAGAGATAGGATCTACATCTAGATCCATTCAGTTCCATAACTTTTGCTTTTTGAGGTCCACCTGTTACCTTTTAATGGACTGTAAGGAATTTTGCTGTACTGAATATTTTCAGAAAATACTTGGCTATAATTCTGGGATATTAAAAGGCATTATCCTCTAGAGCCATAAGAATAAATAGGATACATTTTCAAAACACTTTAATATTGTTCACTTTTTTATAAATGACCGTACTAGTTTTTGAAGTTGGCAACCATGAGAAATGGGCTTTAGTCCTATAGGCCCATAACTAGCATGAGAAAGCATCCATTTATATTCACAGAAAATGTTAAATCTGTTATTTTTGTCCTAAACAGAATTTGGTAGTTTCCTAGTTCCCTATCTTTATATCAGTTAAGGTCACTGTGTGAAAAATGATTGCAAAGTTTCTGAAGAATAATTGGAGAGGGGTGGGGTTGGGGATAATAAGAGTAGATATCCTATAGAAATAATTTGAAGATTTTTTTTTTCTATAGTGCATGCTTATTTTAAAAATTTACACTTGCTCAGACTCAAATGCAGTGCTTTGAGAGGAAAATTTAAGGTAGTTAAAAATTTAACTATTTTCTCTTAGTTCGAGTATTATAGATGTATCCCATGATGCCCGAATTACAGGATTTTTTTCCTTAGTGTTTCTGGCCACTATCTTGGAACTTTCAAATTTCTTCTAAATAGAGACCTTGGTGAAGAGCTGTCTTGTTTTGTGCTTATTTTCATCTAACATGCATGTGCTGCATCTCATGTTTATGTTTGCTGTCTCACATTGCTTTATTTAGATGCCATCTAACAACAGTATCAGAAAACAAATAGAAACCCTCCAGGTGAGTTGTGTTGACGGTACAAAACAAAATACTGCTTTATCTCCTTTAAGTGTGGCTTTTTTTTTTTCCTTTACCCGTTGTTGCATTGCATGTCTAATGTATTTATTCCAATCTGCTTCTCCTCCTATAAGACTAGCAAACAGCAGGGACACTCAGCAGGGATAATATTAATGTGGCCCCAAGAAGATGAATTTACGGGCTAGAAGGGATCATGAATGTTGATTCTTAACCCAAATCCTCAGTTTTAAAATAGTCTGTTTAACTTATTGTCTAATTAACATTACATTAATTACATTGTTATAAATGGAACTTTAAAAAACATTTTCCAATGAAATTAAGGAGGTAGTAGCTTAGATTGTGGATATGATTTTTGATGCTTGTCTTTTTAAAACTTTCATAGGGTTCGGGTTCTAAACAAAATATTTTGGTTTTGGTTCCCAGTAGAAAAAAGGGAAAGAAACATTAAAATGATTGCTGCCAAACATATTGGACATATCAGAGCTTTATTGGATTTTAATTTATGTAACAATCTGATTATTCATTTTATACCAAAATTGTGACTAAGCAATTATATATATCTTTGTTTAAGGCTCAGATCAATTTAGGATGTTTTTATTATTCAGACATGTATAGCAGCATTTTGGTGAATGAATAAGCGATCATTGCTTTATCATTTTTCATCTGGTTTTGGCATTGTTCAGTATAGAGTAACTCTGCTTTGTAAACATAGTAGTCCATCTTAGGAAGTTTGAAAGTCCAGTTTTTTTATTCCAGATACATCAACTTTTAACATAAGATAACCCAAATACTTTATTAACCATAAGATAAAAGAACATTTTTTAATGCAGAATTGGACTTAAATATTTTTAATATATAACTTATATATTAATTTGTATTAGTCCTATTTTGAAAACATAATTTAATAATGTGAAAATACTATTTGGAGTATACATATTATATTTTGATATCTTGGATTTAAATGATAGAAAAGAAAGTTATGTGACAGAAAAGAAAGTACTGTAAAAAGCTTGGTTGTTACTAGTAACATGCATATATTCCACGATACTTTATATGTTACTTTAGTTACATTAGTAAGAAATTAGTAAATACTGGGGAGTGTATTTGAAATTTGGAATCATAATGGATTTAGCAATGGAAGGAGGGATTGATGTTGAGACACTGACCAGCAGAATACTTGATATTCCATTCTTTTTTTTTTTTTTTTAAGCGGTCGGGAGGGGCAGAGGGAGAGGGAGAGAGAGAATCCTTAGCAGGCTCCACACCCAGCGTGGAGCCTTACTTGGGGCTTGATCTCAGGATCAAGCTTGAGGCTTGAGGTTATGACCTGAGCCAAAATCAAGAATAAGTTGCTTAACTGACTGAGCCACCCAGGCACCCCAATATTCCATTCTTAATTATATCAATTCCTCATATAGATGTGTAAAATTATATTTTCTGGTGGCTGTTTTTTTTAATCCTCAATTGTTACC